GTGTGTGTGTGTGTGTGTGTGTGTGTGTGTTTAAGCAAGTGTGTGTTTTGGGGGTATACAGGAACACCTTTGTGTGACACGGAGCTGACCTGTCCGTGTTTTTCATGCTGATCGCCAGGCAGGGCAACAAGTAGTACCATTTGTTAACATATTTTGGTAATATGCAGTTAGGGATCGAATCAAAGCTACCTAGATTAGAAGTTGATTAAGGCCTCGGTTGACTGGCCGGCCAAACTCCCTAGACAGCTGGACTATATTGTATAGTGAGAGAGTCTGGAAAGCATTCATGCTAACATGAACACATTCATTGCTGAATTACAGCTGATCTGATGAGACCCATGACAATCACATGTCATCTTGCATGACTTCACTGTAATACTAGCTCTGACAAAGAGTATCGCTTATGTAAACCGTACTCAGGTTACGTATGTTTTGGATATGAAGTGTAAACATGCTTGGTTCAAGTATTCATCAAATCTGTAGCATGGTGCAGTTTTATGTTCCTTCCATGTTGCTGCTTTCTGTAAAATGTCCTTAATATACACAAAAGAAAATAAACTGTCATGTGAAGGTTTGGTCAGAGTGGGCTCTGAATGTACAGATTACTTAGACTGGCTGCTCCTGGCCTGCATGTTGAAACAGGGCGTTTATTATGGCGAATACAGTAGTTATTACCATATATCATACATATTCTAACAGTATGGTAACACTCTGGTGGACATGTAGTCAACTTCAAGGTGAATGTTAACATTATTGTCAGCAATTATTCAACTCTGTGGTAAAGATTTGGATCCTGGCCAAAAGTTATGCAACTGTATGAAAAACATATACAAGGGTCGATCAAAAGTATGTATCCTAACTATATTCTCGATGTCCAATGTTTGAAAAGCCTCCATTTTATTTTGAAGGAATCGTTAGCAAAGCCATATCCAATATTTCACATGTGTGAGTAATGTGGTTAATCAGATATTTGTCATCACAACACATTGGGGTGTAACAAAATTGCCGAAAATGAAAACTGATTTGTCTTTTGGTACCTCTTGGATAATGGTATGCCCTCAGATAATGTCATATAAGACATGTTCAGTATAGTATTGGATGATTTCGCGTCATGATCAACCGTCAAAGATTTGGATTGCCTGATTTATATTTAGTCAGGAGCTATTTTTTAAGGACACCCCCATTTTAATCTTTCAAAAACATTGTGTCCAGATATTCAAGCTGGCTCTGTTTATAATATATTTTGAGCTGACACTTCTGTGACCATTCAGTATTTAGTGTGAACCCTTGGCATCATGTATGCATAAGTGAAAACATTAGAATAAGCTATGCCCTTGTGATTACGTCATCTGAAAGGGGATGGGTAGTGTCTCCAAAACAAGCTCTTTCAGTCAACATGAGGAGGGGAATCACTTTAAAAAGCGATTGTAATTTCAAATTGCTTTCTTATGAACTCTTTTCTAAGTGTGATTCAAGGGGACTTCTGTCAAACTCCCCTGACCCCATCATACCAAAAGATGTTAAAATATGGTACTTGTTGGTCCCTGCCTGGCGCTCGGCATTAATGGGTACAACAAGGACTGGTCGGCTCGGAGTCAGTATAATGTGTCTGAGTGGGGTATTCATGCTTCACTGCGGCATGGTATCTCAGTGGGCTAGCACTATAAAACCAGCTTCAGTCTGGGCTAGTACAAGCAGCCGCACATACACATACACAAGCATGCACGTCGTCATAAGAGCGAAATATTCTCAAGCACAATGTTAAACTACATACTTTTTGATCGCCCTTGTGCATGCTGGTGAACAGTTATTTCACTGTATGATATGAATGGATCGCTAAAATCAGAGATGACACCAGGTGTTCACTGAATCTCCTGTATCTCTGAAACTGCTGACACAGGCTATACTGGAATGTGCCCAGCAAGTCGCTGTGCCTGATGGAGTATGCTAATGTATTATGTATAAGTTTCAAGAAACAAATGGGAGTAATATTGAGTATCTATTTCCAGGTATAGAATGAATTCTAAGAAATCAACCACTGTCTGCCTTTCCTTGAAATGCACTAACCTTCTTTCACTTTACACCCAGGTCACATACCTTAACCGCAGCCTGCTATCTTTGAATATTTCATTTACATGTACTGTTTCTGTTTTGTTAAAGCAACATTATTATCATTATTATTATTATTGGATATTTATATAGCGCACATATCCACTCACCCTCTTGGCTGGGTGGCTGACGTATCTGCCTTATTTCCTCACAGCTCAGTGATTCATGGATGGGGGTGTGGTGGCTGGACACATCTTTAGTTGACGGAATGTTATGAAACATTATTTCTCTTCTGAAATCTACCGGTACTTTTCCAACCCTGTCTGGTATAGGGTCACAATTTTCACTCATGTTTTCTATATGCCTTTCTCATCCACATCATCTATGAGAAACCAACCTTTTAAGGTAGTGATATTACATGCATATATTCCACCACAGTGGCCATACTGCTGTGGTATAGATGTGATAATTCTGTGGAAAGTCTGTTGGGTTTATGGGTAATTGTTTAGGGAATTCATGCATTTCAAGTGTGGTCTTCCATTGTCTGTGACAGTTCTGTTTGGGTAAATGTGTTTGACATATCATCATGGCACTTGTTTAGCTGTATTTTCAACTAAACACCTAAATTCATGAAATGTTTGGAAAAATTGTAAAAGTAAGAAAAAATGAAACCCTGAATATAGTCTGTTTGCAGTGAAAACGTACCGATGAATTTCACTTTAAACAAAAAAGTAAATCTAAAAAAGTGAATTTAAGATTGCGAATCCTCATAATAGCGATTTGAAACTATGATCGTTTGTTAAATAACTTTTATCCTAAGTTGAATAAAATTCTGAGATTTAAATGTTCAATTGGCAAGGTAAAATCATGAGGATCGTACTTCTAATTTCACTTTATTTGATTTACGTTTTTGTTTAAAGTGAAATTCATCGGTACGTTTTCACTGCAAACAGACTATAGTCTGCTACATGATTCAGTATGTAAGGGAGGTAATCACATAGCAGTCATTTAATGAACCAAACTAACATCTGATCTGTTTAGCAATATAATCAGAAACTGCCCTGCCACTGATAATATATGTACCAGTACCAACCACTAAATATCCTGGATGTTAGTCTGGTGTTTCTACAAGACACAAGGGGCGGTGGGGTAACCTAGTGTTTCAGGCGTCCGTTGATTCCCCCACATGGGTATACCCCACCGTGATATCGCTGGAATATTGCTAAATGCAGTGTAAAATCCAACTCACTCACTCACTACAAGACACAAGGGGCGGTGGGGTAACCTAGTGTTTCAGGCGTCCGTTGATTCCCCACATGGGTATACCCCACCGTGATATCGCTGGAATATTGCTAAATATTGTGTAAAATCCAACTCACTCACTCACTACAAGACACAAGGGGCGGTGGGGTAACCTAGTGTTTCAGGCGTCCGTTGATTCCCCACATGGGTATACCCCACCGTGATATCGCTGGAATATTGCTAAATGCAGTGCAAAAATCCAACTCACTCACTCACTACAAGACACAAGGGGCGGTGGGGTAACCCTAGTGTTTCAGGCATCCGTTGATTCCCCACATGGGTATACCCCACCGTGATATCGCTGGAATATTGCTAAATGCAGTGTAAAATCCAACTCACTCACTCACTACAAGACACAAGGGGCGGTGGGGTAACCTAGTGTTTCAGGCGTCCGTTGATTCCCCACATGGGTATACCCCACCGTGATATCGCTGGAATATTGCTAAATGCAGTGTAAAATCCAACTCACTCACTCACTACAAGACACAAGGGGTGATGGGGTAACCTAGTGTTTCAGGCGTCCGTTGATTCCCCACATGGGTACAATGTGTGAGCCCATTCCTGGTATCCCCCACCGTGATATTGATGGAATATTGCTAAAAGCGGCGTAAACTCCAACTCACTCAGTCACTCACTACAAGACAAACAATTTGTTTCCTCAAAATGGGGTCTCTTCTGGCACCACACAGGGAAGGGATCGAACCACACCCCTTCCACTCCCTGAGCAGATGCTATATCCACAGCACCATAGAAGACGTCCCAGGTCACAGGAGAGGCTTTGTGGACGAGGACAGTGGGCTAGAAGCCAGAGTCTAGTGATCCTTTAGCAAATGATGCAACTAAAATTAGATTTCGTTAATACCATACCAACAGACAGAAAAATGGACATATTGTGAAATATAAAAGTATATTCTAAAAGGATCAACAACCTTAAATGTTTTCACATGTAACATCAGTAGATTTATGTAGAAATATGACTACATATGGAAAAGGCATGTCAACAATATAACAAACAAGTGAGTATGCATTGGCAAAAGGAAAATGTAATCATATAGTTAAAGAAATCTAAAGAAACACAGCCAACATTTCCAACAACACAGATTGCTTAAAAACACATGAAAATATCACAAGATGAAGACTGAAAACTGTAACATGGAATCTATTCAGGGCTGTGATTTGCAAATGTTTTAATAAGATATTATCTGTATAGGGCAAATTAGATTTGACAAAAAGGTACAAACCATATGAAACAATTGCTGAGGGATAGGCAATGACTTCACTGCAGCATTTAGCACTTAGGGGGGAGGTTGCATGTTGGGCAGTTGGGATTCTTTGGAATTCCATCCACCTTGCTCACCCCTAAACCCTGTACTTGTTTTGAAATAAACATTGCCCTCCCCACATCTCTAATCAAGCCCTTGATGTCGACATCCTCAGTGTAGAGAAACTCAACATGGAACTTGTTGACAGATGTCATTGTGAATGTCTTTCTGACGACATTCTGGTGGGATGGCACACCGTAAGGTGAAGGATGTCTGAGGTATGACCCATCGTATCCATGGGACACAGACAGAGACTGGAAACTGCTGGATAACCCAGCCAGATGGCCGAGGCGGTGTGCAGCCACTTCAGTGTGTTCTCTGATGGTGAAAAAGGGATTATCCTTCAAGTCCAGCTCAATGAGTCTCTCGTCACAGAATCTGTCTTCAGATGATCCCCTCTTCGTCACAACTGCTGTGACATAATGTACTTTGTTGTGACAAAGAAATCTGCAGAAGTACATCCTGGTGTCTGATGTAAACAGTTCCTCTGCTGGGATGAAAAGTAGGAGAAGTCTGGGGGATCCATTGTGCGGGTGTCCAGGGATCCGCTGAAGAAGAGGCCATTGATCTTGTGGTTGATGGCAGAATATGGGTCACCATTGTTGTCCTTGATATACTTCTCCATCACTCCATCTCTATTGGACATGATGTTTGTGTAGTAGTGTTTAGGCTTATTGCGGTAGAACTGTCTGATGTTATATTTCCCAGGAGGCCTAGAGTTGATCCGACAGAAATTAACTGCCATGGCCTTTAGCTGTTTTTTAGTTCCTCTTTTGACATGCCTAAAAAGATGCATCAGTTAAGTTCATAACTTTTATCATTCAAATAGATCATGAGATATGAAATATATTTCATTTATCTCTGCTAAATATTTGCAGTTTTGCCCAATGTCTACTTTTTTTTCTTTACTCTCAGTTTTCAAGAATTTTCAGTAAAAGATATCAGTATTGAGAAGGGTAATAAAATCTTAGATTAATATGTCCAACTTACAAGTCTTGATGGAGAAGAATTCTGTTGATTTATGAGGTGTGTACCGATAGCAGACAGGAGAGGACTGGTTAGAACTGTACACTTTACAATCTGTAAGTTCAATAGCCTTGACCTTGTAGTTGGTTCTGCATTCACAGACAGGAAGGAGTGGGATGCAGGTGTTGTCAGCAGACGACATGATAACATACTCCTTCTTATTTCTCTCACAGAGAACAACACACATATGTGCTGCCCTCCTGGAAGACACTGTAGGTTTGAGGATATAGTCTACTGGAGGTTTGTGTCCTGTCTCAGTGTCCAGTTGAGGCTTCTCTTCCACTTCCATCAGGAGGTTGCCCTGTTCAAGTTTATACCATTTATTAATCTCATATATTTTTTATTTGGATATGGATATGATAATGGAAATATTAGTTTTTGTTGAACTTGTTGAGGGTTACATATAAATTACTGGGTTAAAGTTCACATTTCGAAAAAGAAAACTCAATTTCTTAGTAACCTCTAATAGTTTTTCATGAGTAAGCACATAGTTGCAGCCCTGTTCAAGGTGTTTTAAGCATGAGATCATACTGTGGCTCTTAATGAGCATGTTAAGTTATCAAACAGTGCAAGAAGTCGTCCGTCAGTGTCTGAATCACCTTCTGATTGACCTTCTTTGCTCACCTCTGTGTTCAGTATATCAGTCAGTTTGTCTCGGGAGGAATAATGTTGCCCCCCACGCAGGTCTACATCCACCCTCTCTGTAAAGAATGCAATAAAAACATTGTGTTATACTTGTATGACTAAAATAAATAAATCATATATTGTCAACGATAAACATCCGTATTTGGCTTGGGAATTTGTGAGGTGTGTAAGACATTTCAATGACATAGGGATCATCATCTACCTGATTCCAAGGATCAGGCTGGAAGCATCGGGATACAGTTATAGCTTCACAGCACCTTCTAACACACTGAAGGCCACTTCTGTCTCCGTGGCCTTATGGATACAGTGATAGCTTCACAGCACCCCTCACTCGCTGAAGGCCACTTCTGTCTCTGTGGCCTTATAGATACAGTGATAGCTTCACAGCACCCCTCACTCGCTGAAGGCCACTTCTGTCTCTGTGGCCTTATGGATACAGTGATAGCTTCACAGCACCCCTCACTCGCTGAAGGCCACTTCTGTCTCCATGGCCTTATGTATACAGTGATAGCTTCACAGCATCCCTCACTCTCGCTGAAGGCCACTTCTGTCTCTGTGGCCTTATGGATACAGTGATAGCTGCACAGCATCCCTCACTCACTGAAGGCCCCTTCTGTCTCCGTGGCCTTATGGATACAGTGATAGCTCCACAGCAACCCTCACTTGCTGAAAGCCACTTCTGTCTCAGTGGCCTTATGGATACAGTGATAGCTTCACAGCACCCCTCACTCGCTGAAGGCCACTTCTGTCTCCATGGCCTTATGGATACAGTGATAGCTTCACAGCACCCCTCACTCACTGAAGGCCACTTCTGTCTCCATGGCCTTATGTATACAGTGATAGCTTCACAGCACCCCTCACTCACTGAAGGCCACTTCTGTCTCTGTGGCCTTATGTATACAGTGATAGCTTCACAGCACCCCTCACTCACTGAAGGCCACTTCTGTCTCCGTGGCCTTATGGATACAGTGATAGCTTCACAGCACCCCTCACTCACTGAAGGCCACTTCTGTCTCTGTGGCCTTATGGATACAGTGATAGCTTCACAGCACCCCTTATTCACTGAAGGCCACTTCTATCTCTGTGGCCATATGTATACAGTGATAGCTTCACAGCACCCTTATTCACTGAAGGCCACTTCTATCTCTGTGGCCTTATGGATACAGTGATAGCTTCACAGCACCCCTCACTCACTGAAGGCCACTTCTGTCTCTGTGGCCTTATGGATACAGTGATAGCTTCACAGCACCCCTCACTCACTGAAGGCCACTTCTGTCTCTGTGGCTTTATGGATACAGTGATAGCTTCACAGCACCCCTCACTCACTGAAGGCCACTTCTGTCTCCGTGGCCTTATGGATACAGTGATAGCTCCACAGCACCCCTCACTCACTGAAGGCCACTTCTGTCTCCGTGGCCTTATGGATACAGTGATAGCTCCACAGCACCCCTCACTCGCTGAAGGCCACTTCTGTCTCTGTGGCCTTATGGATACAGTGATAGCTTCACAGCACCCCTCACTCACTGAAGGCCACTTCTGTCTCCGTGGCCTTATGGATACAGTGATAGCTTCACAGCACCCCTCACTCGCTGAAGGCCACTTCTGTCTCCATGGCCTTATGGATACAGTGATAGCTTCACAGCACCCCTCACTCGCTGAAGGCCACTTCTGTCTCCATGGCCTTATGGATACAGTGATAGCTTCACAGCACCCCTCACTCGCTGAAGGCCACTTCTGTCTCCATGGCCTTATGTATACAGTGATAGCTTCACAGCACCCTCACTCACTGAAGGCCACTTCTGTCTCTGTGGCCTTATGGATACAGTGATAGCTTCACAGCACCCCTCACTCGCTGAAGGCCACTTCTGTCTCCATGGTCTTATGGATACAGTGATAGCTTCACAGCACCCCTCACTCGCTGAAGGCCACTTCTGTCTCCATGGCCTTATGTATACAGTGATAGCTTCACAGCACCCCTCACTCACTGAAGGCCACTTCTGTCTCTGTGGCCTTATGGATACAGTGATAGCTTCACAGCACCCCTCACTCACTGAAGGCCACTTCTGTCTCTGTGGCCTTATGGATACAGTGATAGCTTTACAGCAACCCCTCACTCACTGAAGGCCACTTCTGTCTCCATGGCCTTATGGATACTGTGGCAGTGTAGTATTTTATATTACAGTGTTATATTTTATGTTAGTTGGTATTGCTAGTTGAAGATGTACCTGTTTTATGTACACATACACACCTGTAAATATTGGTTATTTTAACATACTTAGAATACTTACAATACAACTGAAGCATGCGCCAGCAAAGAATATCAATCAATGCATGAACACCAACCTTACAATAGCCAAAGCCCTGACCTGCCTCGGTCTTTGTCTTGCTTATGTAATCAACACACAGTTTAAACTCAGTGGTTGGCCTGCTAATTTAGTTACTTTCAAGCATCTGAGCAGTAAGCAGCCCCACACTACAGTAAAGGTTTTAAAAGGTATCTGAATACCAGCTCACCTCTGTATATTTCCACGGTTAGTACTTTATCTGTAACTGTTGTATATTGTGTTTTAATGTGAGTATATCTGTTCTATATGACATGCATATATCTGTTTGATATACATAGAAGTATATAAGCAGAAATGGTATAGTCTACTTAATGTATACATATGCATATATAACTAATGTAGGGAAGTTATATCATGACGGGTTTAATAGTCATGCAAGCACATTTAATGTAACTATTGTATTAACGTAAACCCATGCATATTATGTAGTGTGAAACAATGTAATCACGTCATGTTGGTATGTACGTGTATGTGGATATATATATATATATATATATATGGGCAGGTGTATGTGCATATGCATGTACGTAAGTGTGCATGATATGAAGTAGGTATAATACAATGTACTAGGTACTATTGTAGTTAGCGTGTAATGACATGCATTAGCCATGTGTGGTGTGTATTGACTTGTATGTAGATAATATTGTGGTACTATGTATGTTTATTTACTACAGATCCTTACAGGACTGTATGGTATGAGGGACTGCTGGATCTGGCAAACCTAGGTCCACACACCTGGTAGGTGTTGCATATCTTATGTTATCTAATCTCCCGTATTAGTGTATCTATAATCAGCAGTCATCCCATCCGGATGACTATCCCTAGAAATCATTACAGATGTATTATATACATCCATGATATTATTTATATGCGGTGATTTGTATTGCCCTGTATTGTATGTTGTAAACATTGCAGCATGCACTTGATACAATACCTATGAAGTGCAACCTGTCTAAGTATTGAGGATATACCAGTACTAAGGTGCACCAAGGGCGAAGACATAATCGACAAAATGGACTTTGACCAAGCAGCTGTTACTCCTGAAGAACTAACTCAAGGCAAGAAGGTTATTCATGATTTTCTGGACATCTTCTCTACTGGAGATACTGATGTAGGCTTTACTGATCGAGTCGCCCATCGCATCGAACTCATGTCGGAACATCCCTTCAAACAAAGACATAGGCGGATACCACCAGCCATGTATCAAGAAGTGAGAGACCATCTTCAGCAGTTGTTATCAAGTGGGATTATCCGCACGTCACATTCCCCATGGTCTTCCAATGTGGTGCTTGCTCGCAAAAGGACGGCCGTCTCAGGATGTGTGTAGACTACCGACAATTGAACAATCAAACAATTAAGGATAATTATTCTTTGCCACGTATAGAAGAACTGCTTGATGACCTTAAAGGATCCAAGTAACTTTACGACGCTTGACATGAAGAGTGGATATCACGAGATTGAAGTGGCAGAAGAGCACAAGGAGAGGACAGCATTTACAGTTGGGCCCCTTGGCTTTTACGAATATAATCGGATGCCTTTTGGGCTATGCAACAGCCCTGCCACCTACCAGCGTTTAATGAGTGAATGTTTTGACGGATTACATCTCAAGATTTGTCTCATCTACCTTGATGACATTATCATCTTTTCCGACACATATGAGGAGCATCTGATCGTCTGGCTCAAGTCTTCCAGAGGATTAGGGGAATGTGGTCTCAAACTAACACCAGTCAAGTGTTCCTACTTTAAGGAGAGTATCAAGGTTTTGGGGGTCATGTAGTGTCATCCAAGGGAATAGAGACAGACCCTGGCAAGGTGCAGAAAATCAAAAACTGGCCTAGACCAACCACTCCAGAAGAAGTGAGACAGATGAAGAAGGGTTTGCAGGATATTATCGTCGTTTTGTGAAAGACTTTGCTAAGGTGGCCAAGCCCTTATCCAGTATGATGCCAATCGACTAAGACTAAAAGCAAATCCAAGAGGCGGATAGCCCAAGTACAGCCTTGGTGTTGGGGTGACGAACAGGAGGAAGCATTCCAAGTGCTGAAGAGCAAATTGTCCTCTCCCCCAGTATTGGCTTACCCAGACTACACCAGACCATTCGAACTGCACA